TTGTGATACTAACACTTATAGTTTTAACACTTACACTAACAGGGATAAGATCTCCTCCTCTTGGGATTTTAGTATAGTGTGGTTATCTATTCTTTCTCCCTAGATGTAGTTCCCTCCCAAATATTTTCTTTGTAGTTTTGTAGTTTATTGCAAAAATAAAAATATCCCTTTGGGGATTTAAAAAAAAAAAAACTTTCTGGGAAACCATCCCATGCCCTGTACAGAGTGTGAACTGATTTCTTTTCTTTTCTTTGGATTATTTTTATTATTTTTAACAAGCATACAAACAAACAAACACACATACATGAGAGTGGTAGTAACAACATCATATCTCTTAGATCGCCTCTTACATATAGATTAATTTTCCCACCAATATGGACCATTATTATTTTTGCAAGTCTATGTTTTACATTAAAATTTTAACAATCCTAGCATAAATAAATATATATATAACTATAAAATTACATATTCATAACAATCTATAATTATTACATCTCTATTACTAACCAAGCCAATTCTCTCCTAATTAAGCATTCTACAATAATCTTCTATAAATTATCTTTACCTATCAACTAACTTTATAACATTTCTATTTGTGCTAATTATTTTAACATATAAGTAAATTTTCTAGTTTGTTTCATGTATCAAACCACCTTAATATCTTTAAGGAATTCGTTCTCTAAATTCTTCTGTTGTTATCCTTCCCTAAATATCCTTCTCACATATATAATCTAAGTCACTTTTTTTACAGCTTATTCTCTAATATTTTATATTGTCTTTTGTTTATAAAACTTCCTAGAACTCTTAAAATCTGTAATTTCTATGGGCTATAATTTTATAAATGCATAAAAAAAGAAAAATATAATTTCAATTATAACCAATGTTAATTCATTGCCAATTCAATTTCCCCTTGCCCATCTTAACCAGTTGCACAAAAACAGGGGTTAATTTTATTGTGGGCTATAATTTTATAGATGCATTAAAAAAGATATAAATTCAGTTGTTCCCTCTAAGCTGTGGAGTCTTGTGAGCAAGAATTCTTCTTTGTGAGCTACTGGCATTCAAGTTGTGAGCGAGCAATTTGACTACTGCATAAATTAGTCTGCTCTGGAGCCATCCTGCCTGAGCTAGGACAAAAATGTGTGAGCCGGAGGCTAAAAAACTGTGAGCTAGCTCACACAAACTCATCTTAGAGGGAACACTGGTTGTCACCAGTGTTAATTCATTGCCAATACAATTTTCCCTAGCCTTCCCTTATAGGTAGAGGGTATTTCGACTCGCCATCTGTATTCCATTTTTATGGTGGTTAATATTTTCATACCTTCTGTTTCGTCTTCTCTGTGGAGTATAACTTTGAGGATTGCAGAATTTGACAGTCTTTTAGTAGATCTGTTGTTCTCACTGTGGCCTTGTTCATCTTGATTGCAGGGTTGTTCTGTATCTTGCACTTTTAAGTGCTGAGGATCCTTTTCTCTATAGGTTAAGTCAGGTTGTTTGTGGTGTTGTCTTGCAGCTGGCAAGATTTGCTGCTGGGATTCTTTTCCTCGATAGGTTGGGTCCACTAAATTATAATGTTGTTCTGTTTCTTGCAGTGTTTGATGCTGAAGTTCTTTTATCTGGCTTATAGTTTGGGTTGGTGTTGCAGCATATTTATCCTTTACAGATTCTAAAAGGTCTTTAAATCCTAAAGTAATTGCATCCACAATCATAGCCTGAAGCTCCTTCCAAGAGACCTGTAGCTGATTAATTTCTACAAAGCTCTCCGGGCAAATATCGTCTGGCATTTTTCTTTTTGGAACTTGTCCCTCTATTTTAAAACAGTAACAAAGACCCAGCAGAGTCCAGAGTGTGAACTGATTTCACGTGTTTACTTTGATTTACATTTAATAAACAAAATTTTAAAGCACCTTGAGTTAATTTTATGTCCCAATCACATGAAATACCTGAACTGAAATATTTGATGAGGGTGATCAAGAATAGTTTAAAATGTTATGTTCAAATAAATTTAGAGCTTTCAGAGCTAATATCAAAAGCACCTGAGTTAAGAAACTTTGGGCTTTCTCGCATTCTTGTTTTCCTTGCCTGTTCCTGTTTTGGGGGAGGGTATCTGTTTCTCATGTTCCTCCTCTAGTGGTTGATTTGCTATTACACCAGTTTCTCTCTGGCATATCTCCCTGAAGACTGCAAGTTTTTATGCCAGACATAAACTGGGGTAATATTGAATCAACAACAAAACACATGTGGAACAGAAAAACTCCCCTGAAGAAACAGGAACTTACAAGCAAGGAAAATGAAAAATGTGGAAAAGCCCATAGCCTGCTCCCTCATCCCAACATATAACTCCCCCACCTGGATACTCTGGGAAGGAGGCTAAAGTCCTGAAACTTTGGTTCAAAGGGAGATATGGAGACCTGGCAATCCTATGCTTCAAAGCATGCCACTGAACATGCTTGCATTGCAAAAATCCTGTAAGTACAATCAGATCCGTGGTGAAATTAACCATTACATTCGTTATCTATAAGTTTTTTAAAAAATATAATAGAATCCAGTATGGTCCTTTTAACGTACAGTAGGCCCAGAAGAGCTGTCAGCAATGTTTGAGCCGGGAGATGTTGGCTGTGACAATATGTTGAAATAGCAACAACAACAAAATTAAAGCCATGTAATACCTTTGATTGGGAACAACTAAAATAACACAAAACACTATGCAGAGTCTTGATAAAAAAAGTATTATTTGGCTTTTGTTTTGGGATTTTGTTTTAGACCAACCTTCAAAGCAGGAAAGTAATGCTACTTCCATCTTTAACGTATTGGAGAGTCCAGGCAAATGTGGGTTAGGCCTAAAGTTGCCAAGGAGTCAGAAGTGCGCGCGGGGGGGGGGGGGGTGCAGTTGCCATACTCTGGACTCTGTGCATGACAGTCTTGCCTAGCTAAGAACATGAGAAGACTTCTCCTGGATCAGACCAGTAGTCCAGCATCCTGTTTCACACAGCAGCCAACCAGTTGCCTTGGAGGGCCAAACAACACATAGAGGCCAAAGCCTTCCTCTACTGAGAGCACTTATGAGAGCCAGTGTATTGTCGGATTAGTATCTGCAGGACCCAAGTTCGAATCCCCACTCATGCCATGGGAGCATGCTGGGTGACCTTGAGCCAGACACACTCTCTCTGCCTAACCTACCTCACAGGGTTGTAGTGAGGATAAAATGAAGGAGAGGAGAAGGCTGTAAGCTGCTTTGGGCCCCACCTGGGGAGGAAGGTTGGGGGTATAAAAGAATTAAATAAATAAATATACTGCTCCTGCCCAGCAATGATATTCAGAGGTTTGCTGCCTCTGTAGATGGAGGCTCCCTTTAGTTACTGTGGCCATTAGCTAGGGATTGACCTCTCCTCCCTCAATCTGTCAAACACGATTTTAAAGTTATCTACGCTTGTGTCCATCACTGCCTCCCCTGGCAGTGAATTCCACAGTTTAGTTACCAGTTCCATAAAGAAGTATTTCTTTTTGTCCACGCCGAATCTATTCCCCTTCAACTTCATCTAATATTGCCAGAGATGGAGGGGGAAAAGGTTCTCTGTCCCCTTTGGCCAGAATGAGGTGGTACAGTCCTGCTAGGGTTGCCAACCTCCAGATGGTAGCTGGAGATCTCCCACTTGCAACTGATCTCCAGGTGAGGGATCAGTTCACTTGGGAGAAAATGGCCACTTTGGAAGTTGGACTCTATACCATTATGTCCCAAACTCTGCCTTCCTGAGGCTCCACCCCCAAAATCTCCAGTTATTTCTCAAGCTGGAGTTGGCAACCCTAGTTGCAAGCCTTCAGGAGGGGAGGGTGAAGACTTCTCGGAATTGTGACTAATCTCCAGACCACAGAGATCAGGTTCCCCTGGAGAAACCGGCTGCTGTTGAGGGAGACTTTATGGCATCATACCCTGGTTGCTGAGGTCCCTCCCCTTCCCAAACCCTGCTCTCCACAGGCTCCACCCCCAAAGTCTCCAGGTATTTCTTAGGCAGGAGTTGGCAACCCTGAGTTCCGCACTGGTAGCAAGGGGTCGTTTTGTAGAAAAAGAGCTAGGGGAACTCATTAGCCTAACTCATTAGCATATGCCACACCCCCTGACATCACCGGAAGTGTGTCATAAGGCCACACCCCCTGACATTACCAGAAGTGTTGGGGCCCCTGCAAAGCCTGCTGATGCTGGAGTGGGAGGAAGCCCGCCAAGGCCCTCCCTAGCCCCAGGCAGGCAGGGGTGGGGAGAGGCAGGGAGGAAGCAACTTACCCTCCCTCTTCTCCTGCCTCCTCCTGGCTGAATGAGGGCCGGAAGCGGGGGGCGGGGCTTCGTCATGTGCCCCGCCCCCCACACCTCACCCTGGGGAACTGTGATCCCCCGCGATCCCCCCCCAATCGACCTCTGAGCAAGGCCTGTACCACATTCAGTCTGGAATAGGGCTGCGCAGCCATTCTGTTTGGGCAAACAAGGCATGATGATCCAGCCCAGCGCTGTTGCTCTCCAGGGTCTCAGGCACTACTTGCAGGGGCTTCCCTCCTAACACCCGTGATCCGTTTTCACTGGAGATACCAGGGCAGTTTTCTTTTTTTAACAAAATCTGATCATCTGCAGTCTTCTGCATACAAAGCATGGCACTTTACCACTGCGGGTTACGTTCTGGAACAAAACTACGTCTCCACCAGCTTGTCGGCTGCGGATCTAAATTACATCTTTTAAAATAAAGATCTCCCTTCCTTCGCCACACGTTTTCCCGTCCGCCGGCACTACCCGCCCGCGCGCTTACAATTCCGCTTCCTCCCGCGGACTGTGAAGCATAGAGCCAATTCCGCCCGCTCGCTTGACTCCTCTCTTTTTCTCCCTCCCCTCTTTTTTTTTTTTGTCTCCTCCCCTCCCTCTTTTTTCCCCCCGGCCTCCTCCCCTCCCGACGAGGAGGCGCTTCTCTTTCGCTATAATCACGTGACGGCCACATCCGGGCCTTTTGCCTTCTCTCCCTCTTCCCAACATGGCGGCCTCAGGTGAGTGCTGCTTGGCGGGGCATGGGCCTTCAAGCGCCAGGCAGGCCCGGCTTGACCTTTTTTTCCAACGCCGCGAGACAGCGATGCGGGCGGACCGACACGGGGAGAGGAAGGCCGCTGCTTCTTCGTTTGGGCATGCCGCCCTCCAGCCTGCCTTTCCCCTTATGCGGCCCGTCCCCCATCTTCGGCTGGGGCACGCGCGCGCGCGCGCCGTGGCTTCGAACGCAGCAGCCTTGGGCTGTTCGGGCTGCGGCGCGCGCCTGCCCCGGCCGGCGCCATTTGGGTGGGTAGGAGGGTCGGTGGGGTGGGGGAAGGGAACCGCTCGTATGACTCGTGTGTGAGAGATGATTGACTGACCCAGGAGGGGGGAGGCGGCGGCGGCGGCAGATGGAACCTTCCACTGCCTTCCAGTGCGCAAGCGCCGTGGCGCGCGGGTGAGGTGGCGAAGGGGAAGGAAAAAAACCCCGAACCTGGGGCGCGGCGCCCACGTGGGTAAAGCCAGGAACACAGCAGCCCACCGCGCGCTTTGCCGCGCGACTGACTCCCCACGCTCGGGACACGGGAGGGGCGTGGCGAAGCCTGGGGTTGGGTGGGGCGCGTCGCGTGAGCTTCCCAAGCCCCGCCCTGACCATCCACCCTCCCTCCCTGCAATATGTAGCGCTGGGGGGAGGGAAAGGGGGGATCCGGGTTTTGGTGTCTCTCTTTCATGGCTCCCACCCAGAGAAGAGTTTGCTTGAAATGTGCTTCACCGACCGAGGAAAGCCCTGAGTCGAATCTTACCTAGGCGCTAGGAGGCCTTCGGCTGAGGTTTTGCCTCTCCCTTTCAGCCTGCCTCGCAGGGCTGTTGAAAGGATTGCTGAGACATTGCAGGAGAAGTGTTTAGAATGTGTAAACGCTATAAAGGTGGCATTTTTTTCTCTTTTGGGAAATGAAGGCGCAGCCTTTCCCTTGGTGCCCTGTGTGTGTGTATTTATTTATTTAGATATCTGTGACTTGCTGTTCTCATTGGGGGTACAGAGTGGGTCACCACATCATCCCTCCCACTCCATAATTATGCTAAAGCACCGTGAGGTAGGTAGAAGTGGGGGGAGAGATCCACTTTCTCAAGGTCACCCACTGAGCTTCTGTGATAGAATGGGGATTGGAACCTGGATGTCCCAGTTCCTAGTCCGGGGGCCTCTGACCATAATACCACACTGGCTCATGTGTCATTCAATTATAGCGAATTGGTTCCAGTTTGTATAATGTGTTTCCCACTCCTGTCTTCCTCTTCTTGCCACCTGACTTTTCCAAACACGGTGTCCTTGCTGTGTCACAAGACAGCCTTTCTGTTCGTATCTATTTTCCTGGATAAGAGAGAGGAGTTAGTCCAGCTGTTCTGTTGTCCTTTTCATATGAGGTCTGCGTGTATGTGCGGGGGTGTTATTTTGCTATTCTTCTGTTCTGCACTGTTCTCCACTTCACACACACATTCCCAACTGTCTCTTTAGTCCAGTTTGCAGCTCTCCAGTAATGGCTTCTTTCCTCCTATGCCACGATTTGTATCCTGTGCCTCAGGGAATGCTGTCTCACATCATGTGAAAAACACTGAAACACATAGTAGACTTCACTCCTCATGTAATTTTAACTTGCTGGAAAGCACGTAGGCCATTGGGCCAGAGTTATCATGTGCTGAGTATGTGCAAGAGTCTTCTGCTGTTCATGCTAACTTCCCCATTTTGACTGGCAAGTAGGACAGTAGCAACGGCTGACAAGCTTTCTTGAAAGACAGCTTGCCTGCCACCACTCCTCCTGTGATGTGCAGCTACGGTGATGTTGGATGTATTTTAGGATGTGTACTTCATTTGTATGATAAAGAGGCTGAACGATCTGGCCAGAACCTTGTGTGCATGGACTATGTGCTCTAGAATGACTAATCAGGCTCCATTCTGGATCATTATAGTCCTACCAAAAATTTTATTTACGGTGTACAGTTTAATTTGTAGGGCGAAGAAGCAACAAAACTCGGTGTTCTTTTAAAGTTATCCCTCTGGGATGTGGGCTGTTGCATATGACTTATGCTGTGTACTTACCTTTTGCATATTCCAGAAAGGCAGGGGACCACACTAACAGTCCAGCTTTTGATGAGATCTTTGGACGGACTGTGCGCAGGTATCATCGTTTCTTCTGGTCCCTAAACTAGTGTGGGTGCATCATGGCCCCTGATAATAAAGAAACTGGCACTGGTGACCTAGAACAAGACCCCAAATCCCATGCAACTTGCAGGGGTTTGTCAGTGGACATACTGATGAGGAAAGGGTTCACCGTAGCTTAAAAGTTTGAAAACTGCCCTGTGTTGTCCCCACTCATGTGATGCTGGTCTCCTGAAGCTAGACAGCGTTGCTCATTAAGAGAGTGCTGTCAGTTTCTCCTTCTTGCAAATATGGGTTCAGCCTTTGTTCCTTCCTGCCTAGTAGCTGCTCCACCCAAGTTGGTCTGCCCCTGTGCTGCACTTACCCAGCGCACATAAAATGTCTTCTGCCCCACTTCACTTAACATAGTTTATTTACTTATATGCTTCTCACATGATGCTGTCTTACACTGAATCAGATTGTCAGTCCATCAGGGTCAGTATTGTCTGCTCAAACTGGCAAGTGGCTCTCCAGGGTCTCAGGCTGAGGCCTTTCACATCATCTGCTGCCTGCTCCTTTTAACTGGAGAGGCTGGTGACCAATGCTTCCTCTGAGCTTTGGAGTCTTGTGAGCAAAAATTCTACTTTGTGAGCTACTGGCATTAAAGTTGTTAGGGAGCGATTTGGCTACTGCATATATTAGTTTGACTGGATCCATCCTTCCTGAGCGAAGACTAAAATGTGTGAGCCGGAGGCTAAAAAAACTGTGAGCTAGCTCACACTAACTCAGCTTAGAGGGAAAACTGCTGGTGACGGAGGCTGAGATCTTCTCCGTACAAAAAGCAGAGGCTCTTCAACCGAGCCACAGCCCCTCTCCAATGAAGACCCACAGTGGCTTACAACATCAGGCTTCCCGACCTCTATTTTGCTGTCTTTTTATATGTATTGCTGGAATTTTATTTTTGTAAGCCGCCCTGAGCCAGCCTTGGTCAGGAGGGCGGGATAAAAGATAATAAATCAATCTTCACAACAGCTATGTTGGGACATAGGTTAGGCTGAGAGCTGCGAGAGTTGGACTATAAGGAAGGCTGAGCGCCGAAGAATAGCTTCTTTTGAACTATGGTGCTGGAGAAGACTCTTGAGAGTCCCTTGGACTGCAAGACGATCAAATCAGTCAATCCTAAAAGAAATCAACCCTGACTGTTCTCTGGAAGGCCAGATAATGAAACTGAAGCTCAAATACTTTGGCCACCAAATGAGAAGGGAGCACTCACTGGAGAAGACCCTGATGCTGGGGAAGACTGAAGGTCAAAGAAGACGGGGACGGCAAAGGATGAGATGGTTGGACAGTGTCATCGATGCAACGAACAGGAAATTGAGCAAACTTCAGAGGACGGCGGAAAACAGGAGGGCCTGGTGGGAGCTGGTCCATGGGGTCGCGAAGAGTCGGACTTGACTGTGCGACTGAACAACAACAACAAAATGACCAGCCCATGGCCACCTAGCAAGCTTCCATGGCAGAGTGGGGATTCAGACCTGGATCTCCAAGATCCTAGTCCAGCATTATGACCATTTCGCCATACTGGGAAACCAATAGGTTTTTTAAGCTAGTAAAGGTATACCAGCTTGTCACATGTTGGTTTCCCTCTCCATGCACCACTACTTGTGTTCCAATTGCTTGACTTCCCCTAGGAGAAAAGCATACAACAGTCCTTGTTTTGTTGTCTTTCAAATGTACAACTTCCCTGCTTCTTGTCCCCTTGGGGGCATCTACACTTCTAAATGTGGATGCTTGAATGGTTCAAGGTGAGGAGAAGTCTAGTATTTTTTTTTCATTCACTTCCCCTTTCTGTAGGCAAGGGAAAGACTTTGGTAAGCTTCTAATCTGTAAAACAGTGCACAGACCCAGGAATCCTTAAGAGGTGGGAAGGAAAGAGAGCCAGTTTGGTGTAGTGGTTAAGTGCGCGGACTCTAATCTGGGAGAACCGGGTTTGATTCCCCACTCCTCCACTTGCACCTGCTGATGGGACCTTGGGTCAGTCACAAGCTCTGGCACAGCTGTCCTTGAAAAAGAGCAGTTTGTGTCAGAGTTCTCTCAGCCCCACCTACCTCACAGGGTGTCTGTTGTGGGGAGGGGAAGGGAAAGGAGTTTGTAAGCCGCTCTGAGACTCCAAGTGAAGGGCGGGGTATAAATCCAATCTCTTCTTCTTCGTCTGTAGACTGTACAAAATAACATGAGTGCTGTCTGACTGGAAGGGTGTATCCTTTGATCCTTGTTTGTGTGGGTATTGTGGATCAGTCTGTGCTGGAGGTATGGTTCTGTACACACACACAAACACCACGCTTCATCTGAAGGCTGACTTCTATATTGAAATGCAGTAGGCTGCACCAAATAGTAGTTGCGCAAGGACAGCCAGGGTCCAAAGTGAGCGGAGTGTAAAACTCTTAGCAGAGTGTCCCTTCAGCATTGCAGTAAATCAGACTCTGTCACTGAGACATCTGCTGCCAGAAAGGCTACACGTAGATGCCTCTGTCATAAGGACTAGCCTTGTGTATGGGTCTTTTTGACAGGGAAGGACACTCCCATTATACACCTCCCCCCCAATGTTGGGGCCAACCTTGACAAATGAGAGCCCGTGTGGTGTAGGGACTAGGATCCCTGAGTCTGAATCCTTGTTCTGCTTGCTGGGTGACCTTGGGCCAGTCACACGCTCTCAGCCTAACCTTCTGCTTCACTGTGTTGTTTTGAGGATAAAATTAAGGAGAGGAAAACTGTAAAGTGCTGTGGGTCCCCAATGGAGAGGGGGAGATGGTATAAATTAAGTAAATGAATAAATAGGAGATGAGTATGTGATGCTCCCATCTCTCCGTATTTTATCGTAAACCGCTC